GTTTACCCACTTCCCAATGTGGTATCGACTGAAAACTTGGTATACTTATGTCATACTGATGACAATACTTTAAAAAGAAAAAATAAATATTTTTAAACATTCTTTTTTATATGTTATGTTTCGGCTTGGGTCTAATGTCCACGCTCAACTGACGTTGGCTGTAAATCACCGCGGTTCCTCACGTTATGGCAAGCCTTTGGGCCACTTCCTGGAGTCGTGGAGTTCTTCCATTACTAGTACGGTACATTTCATTAAAGCGTGTTTTTTTAAAGTTTTTTTTTAAATACAGTATTACTTATTTTTTTAACAAAGGGCCCACTACTCCGTTGTATAAGGTGTCGCTGGCTCCAGTGCCAATTAAACCCGGATCTAAATCTCCCTGTTCGACTAATCTGAGCCTGTATTTACACCCCGTCCCTCACTGCACATTCCCCCGATTGCAAAGCCGGGTGGGGAGGACCTTTACCCTCTGATCTGGCAGCACCGCGCGGTGTGTTGGCGGCTGCCGCGTATTTCTAATCTCGGCGGTTGGTTGGCGGCCGCTGAAGGTTTCTAACCGAGGTGATTAGTTGGCGGCTGCCGCGGACTTCTAATCGGGGGGGGGGGGGGTGGCCGCTGCTGTAGGTTTGTAAGCGAAGTGATGAGATTGCGGCTGCCGCGGATTTCTAGTCGGGGTGATGGGTTGGCGGCTGCTCCAGGTATCCAACCGAGGTGATGTATTTATTTAGCAGCATGCTTTTGACTTTCACGCAGAGCAGCAGATACACAAGAACACTAGACTATTGAATTTCAAGTTTCATGTATTAGGTATAGCCCTGTGAGCCATTCGGCTCTTGAATCGGGTACAACCGCAACAACAAAAAACTAAAACATGAACAAGAAAACATCTTAAAGTGAATATGTGACTAAGTGCAACCAGAAAATCCAAGAAAAGACAGCAAAATATTGCAGAAAAAACACCGCACACCAACACTGTGTGCAAAAATCCCAGTGGGATGCAAGTCAAACAACAACAACAACAACCACAAGACAACTTAGATTAAGGTCATCAGTCTAACTCTGTACTAAAACAAACAAACATGGCTAAACCAATACACTTTTCGAAATCACCAAAATAAAGCCATGAACGCAATGAAACAGTGATCATAGGAACTGTGACGGAATTTTCACAATAAATGACATAAACAACATGTACTACCAAAACTCTGCAGCCATAGCTGGCTGCATGAGTCACTCCCAGAGGTCGCAAACGGGTTTTGATACCTTACCCGTACCCGGCCGCACCAGGGTCGCAAATGGGTACCCGTACCCGGCCGGGTACGGGTACCCGGCCGGGTACGGGTACCCGTTCCCTACCCGTACCCTACCCGTACCCTACCCGAAATGAGTGACAAACGGTTACTCACCAGTGACTCACGGCCTACCCATACCCGTACCCGGCCGCACCAGGGTCGCAAACGGGTACCCGTACCTGGCCGGGTACGGGTAGCCGGGTATCGGATAGGGTACGGGTATCGGGTACCCGGTTGCAACCTCTGGTCACTCCACAACAGCAGGAGCATCAGGAATTAAATAAACATGCCAACATTCTATGTGTGTGGACGTCAGCCCACGTGGGCACAGAGCCACGTGACAACCTCCTCCTCCTCCAGCACATGCAGGACAACAACCACCACCACCACCACCAGTGACGGACTTCACAGCCGGAGGCGATCTGCGACCCGCGTGCCCAACGCGGCCTGCCACGCAGTCGCACGCCCCATCCACGTGCGCGTGTGCAGTGGCACGCACACCCTGGTTACGCAGCGGTTCAATACCTGTCAACCCCTTCTCAGTACCCCCTACCTTATTACAGACCAACTCAGAACTTAGTGGTCACCCCGTGGCCGTTATCAATCTCAACGTTCATCCTACAAAGTCCCATCACAAGGGAGAAACACAAACAAATAGACAATACCTTGCGCGTTGCTCCTCTTGAAACGGCTGTAACGCCGCATGGACCTGAGAACTCACTTTCCCTGCACAAGAATGCGGGGTGAACCGTACGGGTTTACAGCTCTGCAATGTAGATGTCGTAGATGATCGTCGGGGGTAGGAACAGACACCGTCCATTGTTCTGCATCTTCAAGGAGCTGGCCTTCCTTGTTGCTGTTGTCGATGTCCGCGTTCACTTGGAAGCAGCGATGTTTGAGAAGAAGCTCGAAACTTGTTCACTTGAGAACGAGACAGGGATTCATCTTCTTGGTTGTTTCGGTAAAGTCACGTAGAAGGGAAGTAATAAAATAATAAAAATAAAACATAATAAAATAATTCTCACGACGTTTCGGCCACAACGCAAGCAGCCGTCCTCAGGTGAACTCGTTTGACAGCTTCGGCAGAAGTGCGGCACCACGGACCCCCGTCGTGGTCACGCTGCCGTGAGGTCCAGGCAACGTCTCGTTGAGACGTCGCCTGGGTGCCGTTATCACACAAACGAAGTTGTCAGTGCCAGGCGCTGGTCGCACGCTGCCGTGGCGGCATCCAGCCTGGCTCGGCGCTCAGGACGCGTCGCTGGCGGTCGCTGTGAGACGCGTTCCGACGGCGACCGCTCCAGGAGATTTTGGCGCACGCACTCAGCAGCAGTGCCGGGCTAAGCTCGTGCGGGGCCTGTATAGCATGATGTTATAAAGGGGACCTAAATTGTAATAAAATAATACGTAAATATTAAAACAATAACGTTTAACTTGCATTGTTAAGTAATTGTATTTTTTCATTAGCTATACAGCCAGATAATACGACAGATCGCTAACCTTAAACACCCAGCCGTTCATAAAAGTTGAAGGCGGTATAGTACTATAGTAATAAAGCAAGTGCAGGATCACTGAACCCGAATTGATCCGCTTGAAAGCATTTAGCGCGGGGCCCTTGAAAGTGCGGGCCCCGTACTACATATGTAGTAGCTACTCACGATAACTTGATAACTACATGTGTAGTAGCTACTCACGATAACTTGATAACTACATATGTAGTAGCTACTCACGATAACTTGATAACTACATGTGTAGTAGCTACTCACGATAACTTGATAACTACATGTGTAGTAGCTACTCACGATAACTTGATAACTACCTATGTAGTAGCTACTACCTATGTAGTAGCGACTTGTGCGACGAGGCTAACGCGGCACTGGCTCAGAAGAGAAGAGTGTCCGGTGACTCCCCGGCAACGTTGATCTCGTTCGCCGCCTCTGGGAGTCCTCCTAATTTTGTGGCAGCAAGGGGCGTTCTGACGCAATTCGGATGAAGAAAGTTGCTAGCGAGTGCCGCTACGTGGGATCCGAGGTGTTTCGAGTAGACCAGCGGGGGGGGGGGGGGGGTAGGCCATGTCGTCTAGACCAGCAGCGTCGCATGTTTGTTCATTTGTCCAAGCGCGCTCAACGTACATGGGCGAGCGGGCGAGAGGCTCGCGGTTGGCGGCGTTCTGTCTCACGACGCCGCGTGGCCTCCGTGTCGCTCACGTGCCCTTGAAAAGAGCTTCATGGCTCGTCGGGTTTCTCCAGGATAAATACAAATTCTGATTCGAGCCGGGCGTGGTGCCGGCCACCCACCCCCTCGTGTGCCACAGTGCCGGCATTCATAGGCAGCGCTACCCCCTCACAGCACTTGGCCCCAACAATATGTTAGAGGCTACACGGGGAATATTTGTCTTTGTAGCCGCGGGTACAACAGTTGCTCTAAGTAGCTATTAAGTAACAGGTACAAACACATTAAGGCCTTTCTCTGCGAGAGCTTGCATGGCCGTATCAGCTTGCACCGAGTCAAGTGTCAGCCAGGGCGCGACGCGATATCAAAGTGTCAAGTCCAGGCCCTGATGGATCGTAACACAAGCGCACGCTTCCACAGTGATTGCCCTGCTGCTCAATGTGAACACTGGCGCTACTGCTGCTCATCTCATGCTTCCACAGCCCTGGCAGAGCCAGTGGTGGAAATTCCACATTCCTACGGCGGCGGGAGAGAACGGTGGACATGACCGCGAATTGAGCTCGTGTCGCCTGTTTTATTGTGCGCTGCGCTCGCCACTGCTCCAAATGCCTCAGAGACGAATATCTCCCGTGGTGCAGCCTCAATATGAATCCTTGCAGTCACGAAAGCTTCAAATCTAGAATACCCTCTACGGGGAGGAATTCCACCTCTGAAGACGGAAGCTTGTGTTGCCTCCGAAACGTCGTGATTTTTATTTTATTTTTATTTTACTTTTATTAATTTAAATTTTTTACCTACGTGACTTTACCGAAAAAAACCTAAGAATATGAATATACCTCAACAGTGTCGGGGCAAGTGCCGTGAGCGAGTAGCAGCACCTGTGAAGACCTGCACGGCACACGAGGTGGGGGGGAGCAGTCAGGCCCGGCCGCCTTTGTCTCCCCATCGTACCTGGTACTTATTGTTAAGGCTGAAACAACCCCGGGGAAGCCCGGAATTTGTTCAGATATACGTCACCGACGTTGGCTGTGATCCGGAATCGAACTCGGGTCGCCGGGTTTGTAGCACAGTGTGACAATCATTGCGCCACCGCTCCCCCACAGACTCCCTTACCCCACTGCCGGGGTAACGCAGAGGATGTGATCACAATAACTCGATAACTTGATAACTCGATAACTTGATAACTCGAGTTAACACGGTGGCGAACTCGCGGAATGAAGAGGGGTGGGGAGGAGGGTGGCGGAGGATCAGTAGGGAGGAGGTGGCGGAGAGAGGGAGGAGGTGGAGGAGAGGGAGGAGGAGGTGAGGAGGACGAGTAGAGAGGGAGGTGGAGGTGAGTGGGAGGAGAGGGGGAAGAGGAGGTGGAGTATGGGATTGAGTGTCCCTCGCGATGGAGCCTGGCTTCCCGGCTCTCATCTCGAAGTGAAACTCGTGATTTTCATCCCCCCCCCCCGGGAGGGTGGCGCGCGAGGGGGCGGGAGTGACCCCCCCCCCCCCCCCCCACATCCTTTAAATGTGGAGGGACGCGGACCTCGAGCGCAGAGCGACTCCCGAAGCAGTGAGGAGGTCATAGAGGAGGTGATAGAGGAGGCGTCATACCCAGGGTCTGTTTCACCAGACTCCATAGACAGAGTCCATCACCACGTATTCAGTACTCTCACTGCTGGACCGATCACCGCTGTTAGCGAGCACCTATTATTACACTCACCCCACACACTCTCTCTTTAACACCCCCACCACACTCACTCAGACTCACTCGCCCACACTTCCACACTCACAATCCACCACTCCACCCACCCATCCTCTCGCCCACTCACTCACTACCCAGATACTCGCCCACACTTCCACACTCACTCTCACCCACAACCCACCCACCCACTCACCCACCCATACTCTCACCCACTCACTCACAATCCACCCACTCACCTACCCATCCTCTCGCCAACACACTCTCCACCCAGCCACTCGCCCACACTTCCACACTCACTCTCACCCACTCGCCCACAACCCACCCACTCCACGCACCCACTCCACCCACCATGCACGTGTTACTGGACCTCGTGTTGACCGTGGGCCGCGTGCTGCGCGCCCTCCTGGCCGCGGGCTCGCGCTGGGTCGTGCGTCCTCGTCCCAAGAGCGTGGCGCAGGACCTCTGCGTCGTCACGGGCGCCGCGGGGGGCCTGGGACGCCTCTTCGCGCGCGAGCTCGCCTCGCGGGGGGCCGCCGTGGCCCTCTGGGACATCGACGGCGCCGCGGTCGAGGTGACGGCGCGCGAACTTCGCGAGTCGCTGGGGGCCCACGCCGTGGCGTTCGCGTGCGACGTGAGCCGCAGGGCCGAGGTGTACCGCGTGGCCGCGAGCGTGCGGCACGAGATGGGCCGCCACCCGACAATGCTCATCAACAACGCCGGGGTGGTGTCGGGGAGACCCCTCCTCGACTGCCCCGACCACCTCATCGAGAGGACTCTGTCCGTGAACTGCACCGCGCACTTCTGGGTGCGTGGAGGACGATGGGTCCGTGCGCGCGTGGGTGAGGGTGTGTGTGTGTGCCTGTGTATGTGTGTGAGAGTGACAGAGTGTGTGTGTGAGTGTGTGCGTATGTGTGTGAGAGTGACAGAGTGTGCGTGTGTGAGAGAGTGTGTGCGTGCGTGTGTGAGAGAGAGTGTGCGTGTGTGAGAGAGTGTGTGTGAGAGTGTGCGTATGTGAGAGAGTGTGTGTGCCTGTGTATGTGTGAGAGTGACAGAGTGTGTGTGTGAGAGAGAGTGAGAGTGTGTGCCAGTGACACGTGCTCACTGGCACACTCGCAGTGACACACTGGCAGTGACACACACTGACAGTGACACACTGACAGTGGCACGCACGTAGTAACACACTGTGACAATGACATGCACACACCGACAGAGGCACACTCACTGGCACACTTGTAGTGACACGCTGACACTGACCATGGAACAGAGACGGATCGATTCACACAGAGAACCAAAGATCCACAACATCTTACAGACTCACATAGAGACCCACAGACCCACCCAGTTTTACAGACTCACACAGAGACCCACAGACCCACACAGTCTTACAGACTCACACAGAGACCCACACAGTCTTACAGACTCACACAGAGACCCACCACCCATCACAAAATCCATGGCCAATCATCCCAGCATAGCCGGATCCTCCTGATAAGGAGTCGTGAGACTTCTCGGCGATGTCTTCCTGGGTTGAATCAAGGGCACACTCCAACTACCACCGACCACGGCGAGGGTTGCGTTGCTCTTAGTCGAAGTTGTGGAGGAGGCGAGCGGCAGGCGAGGCGCTAATCCTCCTCCTGAGCGCGCCCTCGTGACGGGGATCAGCTCGCATCGTGACTCGGATCGACGGAGACCGGCTTATCCCCTCACTCGTGGTGCTCGCTAATTGGCCCACCAGCCCCACCACCCCCACCCCCATCCACCACCACCCCTCCACCTCGTCGCTTAATCAAGCGAGGCGAGCGTGCGCGCGAGAGAGTGAATTGGTACCGCGCACGTGACCGTGAGGGGCTGTTGGGACGACGATGCAAGATCCCGAAATCACGTGGCTCTGTGAACTCCTCGTTTGGCGACCAAATGGCTTCTCTCCGCGACCGATTGACCTCTCCCGCTCTCACACAATGACCCCTCTCCTTGACCTCTCTCACGACGACCCCTCTCCTTGACCTCTCTCACAATGACCACTCTCCTTGACCTCTCACACGATGACCCGTCTCCTTGACCTCTCTCACAATGACCCCTCTCCTTGAGCTAATGACCTCTCTCCCTCTCTCTGACCGGTTGACCTCAGACGGTCAAGGCCTTCCTGCCGGACATGGTGGAGAAGAACCATGGACACATCGTGACCATCGCCAGCGCCCTGGGCCTCTTCAGCACCGCGGGGGTGGAGGCAAGCGAGCTCACACAGACAAAGGCCCCCCCCCCCCACCCCCGTATAGCCTCGGCAGGCCGTTGGGGCAAGTGCTGCTTGTGGAAGGCCGCCACGGCGCACGAGGGGGGCGTGGTGTGGTCAGAACCGCACCACGCCCGGTCGCCTTTGTCTCCCCGGTACTGTGCCCACACTTTACACGTTACACCAGCTAGTCACTTGAGGCTGAGTCGACCTAGCGGAGGCCCAGGACCTGTTCGGCTTATGGTCACTGGTGATGGTGGCTGTATGCGGGAATCGCCGGCAAGTTCGTAGCGCAGTGCGCTAAGCACTGCGCCACCGCTCCCCACACTCATTAAAGACAAAGATCCACCGTATAGGCCACTCGAAGCTATTCGGACAAGTGCTACTCTATCCTGGTCTCTTTGATTTTCACCGCGTTAAACATTTCTCACTCACTCGCTCACCCACTCACCCACTCACTCACTCACCCACTCACTCACTCACCCACTCACTCACCGACTCACTCACTCACCGACTCACTCACTCACCCACCCACTCACTCACCCACTCACTCACCCACCCATTCACCCACTCACTCACTCACCCACTCACTCACTCACTCGCCCACTCACCCATCCACTCAATCGGGGGTTGGCAACCTGCGGCTCTTTAAGGACTGCTGCTTGGTGACGTCGCTTATCGGTGACCCCACCGTCTCGTATTCACCACACAGTGGCATTGCGCCTCTTGAAATATTGAGGGTTTTTTACCGACTTCAAAAACCATCGTATTATTCTCGTTGCCGACCCCTGCACCAAATGAACACAGGTCGCTCTTGCGAATGGCAACCCCCTATCCTGGCCACTTGAGTCCTCAACCTCGCCTACACAGAATCAACACGGATGAACGCGCACGCGTCTTGAATTAGCATGACCGTGATGATGATGATCGTGATGATGATGATCGTGATGATGATGATGACCGCGTGATTACGATTAGGATCGTGATGATGATGATGATCGTGATGATGATGATGACCGCGTGATTACGATTAGGATCGTGATGATGGCGACCGTGATGATGATGATCGTGATGATGATGATGACCGCGTGATTACGATTAGGATCGTGATGATGATGATCGTGATGATGATGATCGTGATGATGATGATGACCGCGTGATTACGATTAGGATCGTGATGATGATGATCGTGATGATGATGATCGTGATGATGATGATGACCGCGTGATTACGATTAGGATCGTGATGATAATCGTGATGACCGTGATAATGATGATGACCGTGATGATGATGAACGTGATGATGGCGATGGCGAAGACGTCATACCAGGTGATGATGTTGCACTGACGCGTCCCACCCGCTCCCAACAGGACTACTGCGCCAGTAAGTTCGGGGCTGTCGGCTTCCACGAGTCTCTGGCGCACGAGATCAAGGCGATGGGCAAGGGCGGCGTGAAGACCACGCTGGTGTGCCCATACCTGGTGGACACGGGCATGTTCAGGGGCTGCCACATCCGGTGAGGGGCCAACGCAGCGGCGATTGTGGGGCCCACTTGGGGCCCATCTGGGGCCCACTTGGGATCCACTTGGGGCCCACTTGGGATCCACTTGGGGCCCACTTGGGGCCCACCTGGGACCCACCTGGGACCCACCTGGGACCCACCTGGGACCCACCTGGGACCCACCTGGGACCCACCTGGTCACACAAATGCGGGGAGGGGGGCGAGGAGCGAGTGGGGTGCGGCGCCACGGGCAGAAGGAGGTGTTTGACTCCAGGGGGAGGTGGTTGAATAGAGGGAGGAGGTGTACAGGTAGAGGCGGTTGTGTCCACGTGTGCCTCCCAGTGTCCCCACGCCCACCAGTGTCCCCATGTGCCACCCCGTGTCCCTGTGTGCCACCCCTTGTCCCCATGTGTCTCCCCGTGTCCCCACGGTGTCTCCGTGCGATTCAGCCGTGAGATCGAGTCTCTGCTGCTGCCGCCGCTGCGGCCGGAGCGCTGTGTGAGCGAGGCGGTGCGCGCCATCCTCACGGACCAGCCCCTCATCTGCATCCCTCGCCTCATGTACCTCGTGGTGTTCCTCAAGAGGTGGGCCTCCACCCTCTCCATCCTCTACCAACCTCACCCTCCACCCTCAGGCTCTAGCACCCTCATCCTCCACCCTCATCCTCCACCCCATCCTCCACCCTCCTCACCCTCTCCATCCTCTACCAACCTCATCCTCCACCCTCATCCTCCACTCTCCTCCTCATCCTCCACCCTCCTCACCATCCACCCTCTCCATCCTCACCCTCCACCCTCATCCTCCACCCTCATCCTCATCCTCCACCCCATCCTCCACCCTCCTCCTCATCCTCCACCCAGCTCATCTTTTCGGGGCACCGCATCCTCCCATCCCTAACCCGTACATCCCTCCACGATCCCAATCACCCATCCCTCCACCCCTTTGTAACCTCCACTTCATGCCTCCAATGCAACATTTCTAACCTTTAACCCCCCCCCCCCCACACAGTCTATTCCGATCATCGCAATCATGGCGATCACCATGGTAACGCTGATCGTCAATTAGGAGCCACATGTAGCAGAGCGGGTCCTTGCTGATAAACATCTGGCAGTTCACCAGCATTGACTCAAGCAAGCAATGCATGTCAACACCGCTCCAGAGCTTTGCTTGTCCTGAACCAATGCTGCTGACGGTAAAGACTCCCAGACGGCCGTGGGGCCTATGGGTTGTGTAGAGAAGTGTGGGGCCTATGGGTTGTGTAGAGAAGTGTGGGGCCTATGGGTTGTGTAGAGAAGTGTGGGGCCTATGGGCTGTGTAGAGAAGTGTGGGGCCTATGGGTTGTGTAGAGAAGTGTGGGGCCTATGGGTTGTGTAGAGAAGTGTGGGGCCTATGGGCTGTGTAGAGATGTGTGGGGCCTATGGGTTGTGTAGAGAAGTGTGGGGCCTATGGGTTGTGTAGAGAAGTGTGGGGCCTATGGGTTGTGTAGAGAAGTGTGGGGCCTATGGGCTGTGTAGAGAAGTGTGGGGCCTATGGGTTGTGTAGAGAAGTGTGGGGCCTATGGGTTGTGTAGAGAAGTGTGGGGCCTATGGGCTGTGTAGAGATGTGTGGGGCCTATGGGCTGTGTAGAGAAGCGTGGGGCCTATGGGCTGTGTAGAGAAGTGTGGGGCCTATGGGCTGTGTAGAGAAGTGTGGGGCCTATGGGTTGTGTAGAGATGTGTGGGGCCTATGGGCTGTGTAGAGAAGCGTGGGGCCTATGGGCTGTGTAGAGAAGTGTGGGGCCTATGGGCTGTGTAGAGAAGTGTAGGGTCTATGGGTTGTGTAGAGAAGTGTGGGGCCTATGGGCTGTGTAGAGATGTGTGGGGCCTATGGGTTGTGTGGAGAAGTGTGGGGCCTATGGGTTGTGTAGAGAAGTGTGGGGTCTATGGGTTGTGTAGAGATGTGTGGGGCCTATGGGCTGTGTAGAGATGTGTGGGGCCTATGGGCTGTGTAGAGAAGCGTGGGGCCTATGGGTTGTGTGGAGAAGTGTGGGGCCTATGGGTTGTGTAAAGATGTGTGGGGCCTATGGGCTGTGTAGAGAAGCGTGGGGCCTATGGGTGGTGTGGAGAAGCGTGGGGCCTATGGGCTGTGTGGAGAAGTGTGGGGCCTATGGGCTGTGTGGAAGACGCTGTTGTAGCTTCGTGTGGAGAGACGGAGATGAGCAGCAGCAGCAGCAGGCGCGTTGGCCGCTTATCTATCACGGTCAGGATGATGTCAGCAGGAATGAGGTGACCATGATGATGACCGTGATGATGATGACCCAGATAATGACCACGATGATGATGCTGACCACGATGATGATTATGACTACGATGGTGACATGATAATCATAACCATGATGCTGATAGCACGAACCGTGGACCACGAATAACATCACCACGCTGCCCCCCTCCCCTCCCTCCCGCCACGCACCACCGCGCCAGCTTCCTGCCCTCCGAAGCCCTCTCGTCGCTCTACCGCTTCCTGGGCGCCGACCGCTGCATGTACCCCTTCCTGGAGGCGCAGAGGCAGCTGCAGAGCAGCCAGGGAGGCGGCGACAACGAGAGCGGCGGCGGTGGTGGAGCAAATCCCGCGCCAGCGAGCGAGCAGAAGTGAAGCCCAGCACCCCCACCGCGCCTGTGAAGAGGTCGTGCGCGCTGTCCAACGCCGTCGCCGTTCCAGAGTGACGGCGAATCGGAGAGCGAGGACAGCTCGAGCCCCAACACGAACAACACTCGCCAGGCTCGGCCACCCCCTCCTGCCCCCCCCCAGTGCCAAGTTTAGTCGCTGCGTCTTACTCACGCCAAGCGAGCTGCAGCGCGTCGCGCCAATGACGCCGTACGTGTGTCTGTCTGTGTGTGTCTGTGTGTGTCTGTCTGTGTGTCTGTCTGTGTGTGTGTCTGTCTGTCTGTGTGTGTCTGTGTGTGTATCTGTCTGTGTGTGTGTCTGTGTGTGTCTGTGTGTGTCTGTCTGTGTGTGTGTGTCTGTCTGTGTGTCTGTGTGTGTCTGTGTCTGTCTGTGTGTGTGTCTGTCTGTGTGTCTGTGTGTGTCTGTGTGTGTGTCTGTGTGTGTGTGTCTGTGTGTGTGTCTGTGTGTGTCTGTCTGTGTGTGTGTGTGTCTGTCTGTGTGTCTGTGTGTGTCTGTGTCTGTCTGTGTGTGTGTCTGTCTGTGTGTCTGTGTGTGTCTGTGTGTGTGTCTGTGTGTGTGTGTCTGTGTGTGTGTCTGTGTGTCTGTCTGTGTGTGTCTGTCTGTGTGTGTGTCTGTGTCTGTCTGTGTGTGTGTCTGTCTGTGTGTCTGTGTGTGTCTGTGTGTGTGTCTGTGTGTCTGTCTGTGTGTGTCTGTCTGTGTGTGTGTCTGTGTGTGTGTCTGTGTGTGTCTGTGTCTGTCTGTGTGTGTATCTGTCTGTGTGTGTGTCTGTGTGTGTGTCTGTGTGTCTGTCTGTGTGTGTCTGTCTGTGTGTGTGTCTGTGTGTGTGTCTGTCTGTGTCTGTGTATCTGTCTGTGTGTGTCTGTGTGTCTGTCTGTCTGTGTCTGTATGTCTGTGTCTGTGTGTGTGTCTGTGTGTCTGTCTGTGTGTGTCTGTGTGTGTCTGTGTGTCTTGTCTGTGTCTGTATGTCTGTGTCTGTGTGTGTGTCTTTGTGTGTCTGTCTGTGTGTGTCTGTGTGTCTGTCTGTGTAGCCTTGACAAATGAGTAGCTGGTGCGGTGTGTAAACGTCGCCACTCGAGAGACGTGTCGGCCTTCACAGGTGCTACTCGCGAAAAGCACTTTCCTCAACAGTATGTTGAGGCTATATGGGGGAATCTTTGTCTTTGTAGCCTTGAACGGTGAAGGATGTAATATGTGACGTTTCGGGCGTTGGCCCTTGTTCAAGACGCGTACGTAGAGCGCCCGGGGGAGAGACGGAGAGGATGGTCGCAGTTGGAGACTGCGCTTCGCACGCGCCTTGATGGGGGGGGGGCTGACGAGAGAGTTAAAGATGACACACGCCTTGTCTGGCGACCACGTGTTACGCTGCCTTCTGAGGAGTTGCACTGAGTACCAGATACGCCCCTTCAGTATCACTACGAATAAACTCACGTGCGTTCAGTCTGCCTCGTGGGTACTCACATGTTGGCCCCTCCCCCTCTCCACCCCCTGCCCCTCCCCCTTTCACTACCCCCTGCCCCTCCCCCTCTCCACCCCCTGCCCCTCCCCCTTTCACTACCCCCTGCCCCTCCCCCTCTCCACCCCCTGCCCCTCCCCCTCCTCCACCCCCTCCCCCACCCCTCCTCCACCCCCACTCCTCCCCCTCCTCCACCCCCTTCCCCCTCCTCCACCCCCACTCCTCCCCCGCCCCCGTGGATGGCCACACCTGATCCACGTGTATCCGAGTGTGACCCAGCGCTGTGTGGAGACAGCAGCAGCAGCGAGGGTTGGTGAATCACTTAAAGATTGTTTCGAAACTCCCTTCCCTTGGATGGAGGCGTCGTGGAGGAACCGTACCCTGGCTCGCGAGGAGAAGGCAGTACAGCAAGTGGACTAATCTCCATCCGTGTCCATCCGTATGGGGGTTGGGATAGAGCGTGGGTTGTCTCCGCGTGCTCCGGTCTCCTCCTCCTCCCCACGTGATTAATAATCACGACTCGTCGGTAATCGGCTGACAACATCTTACAAACAAACATCTCAATGGGGCAGCAGCGGCAGGACTCTCCTGGCAGTGAGTCATGTGACTCAGTAGCGTGGCTCTCTGAATAAAAATATATATATTACGTGGATGGGTTTTGTGTGCATCCATCATATTCACCATGGAGATATAAAAGGATGGCAAGTTACCATTCTTGGCTGTTTTAATCGAAAGGAGACCAGATGGCTCAATGGGACACTGTCTACAGGAAAGCCACCCATACGGATGCATATCTTAAACCTGACTCCCACCACCATCCTTCCCAGAAGAATTCCCTCATCTAAACTCTACACCATAGAGCTCGATGTATTTCCGACCATCATCACCTAGCCAGTGAACTGGAACACGTACACCACGCCCGCAAGATGAATGGATATTCAGACTACACAATCCGTAAAGCTATCGCCCCAACCTTGGTAAAGAACCATCTGAGGACCCAATCAAAACCATCACCTTACCATACATACAGGGGTCACTAAAATATTTCCAAAATCATGAGCAAACACAAGATCCAGGTACGGTTCAATACAGTACATACAATTCCTGATCGGATCCCATCTGTGAAGGATGTGATCCCTGACATGTAATACCCCGGCGTCTACAAACTAAGCTGTGTCTGCGGCAGTAGTTACATTGGGGAAACTAAGCGACACGTCTCGGACCGTGTTCGTGAGCATAAGGTAGATCTGAAATACGGTAGGACCAATACCTCGGCCGTGGCTGATCATTGTTTTAATGCGGTGGGCTCACACGAAATAGATTTTTCTAAGACGAAGGTACTTTGCAAACCCACTGGCTATCAACAAAGATTCGTTCATGAAGCCATCCATATATATAGACAGACACAATTTCAATCAAGAAGATGGGTATAAACTGAGCAATCATTGGAAGGACGTTATCAACCAGTTTAAGTCACAACTGGCTGTGATGTTCCCATCCTACGACCTTCCGATGTTCGTTGTTATTTTCGACTCTCTGATTTGACATTAACAGGTAAAAAATGTCACCCTAACACAGCCACCTTGCTCACCGAGCTCGAGGTTTTTTCTGCTTTGCGATCTCCCATTAACATGCTAATCTCTCACATTAACATAGCCACCTCAGGGCGACCGTGTGGAGGCCGCTTAACGATTTTACATTAACACGCTAATTTTTACTGGGCAGCCCTTTGATTGGTGGGAAAACCCACCACTGTCGCGGTCACTGCCCACCACTCACATTATCATTGGCTGCTGACATTTGGGCTATGCCCATTTCAAACCTTTATCAACAGTTTATCTTTAGAAGCTAACCCCCTCTTCCTGATGACGAACGCTTGTGTTGCGATCGAAACGTCGTAGTTCTTTGTTATTTCCTTTAAACCTATCTACGTGACTTTACCGAAAGACCCAAAGAACATTTTGTGTACATGTTAATGTGTATATAGGATGTGTGTATATGGACTATGTGAACACACACACACACTGCAAAACTGGGGTGGGGGGACATACAAACACCAAAGACAAAGATCCCCCATATAGCCTTAACAGACCCAGACTCACACACAGAGACCCATAGACACAAAGAGACCCATAGACACACACAAAGACCCATGACACAGAAACCCAGAGATATACACAGAAATCCAGAGACTCACAGAGAAACCCAGAGACACACATAGAGAGAACCAGGCTCACACAGAGAGACCCATAGACTCAGACAGAGAGAACCAGGCTGACACAGAGAGACCCATGGACACACACACAGAGAGACCCATAGACTCAGACAGAGAGACCCAGAGACACACAGAGAGAGAACCAGGCTCACACAGAGACCCATAGACACACATACAGAGACCCAGAGACTCACACAGAGAGACCCAGAGACACACAGAGACCGAGAGACTCATATAGAGAGACCCATAGACACACACAGAGATCCAGAGACTCACAGAGAGACCCATAGACTCAGACAGAGAGAACCAGACTCACACGGAGAGACCCACAGACTCGTATACAGCGTAGAGCTCCCTCTGGTGGAGGCCTCTCCCACCAGCAGCAGCACAAGCGACAAATCGCGGTGCTGCACCTTCACGGGGCCTCGGCCAGGGCCCTGCCACGGGAACGTGGAGTGGCGCCAGTGCGCCGTTGCCACGGCTTCCTCTCACCGGCGGCGTCGTTGTTGGGGTCGCGATGAAGGCCGGGCAGGCCGGGCAGGCCGGGCCGGGCTGGGCTGGGCCCTGCAGGCCGGGCAGGCCGGGCAGCGACGCCGGCCTCCTCCTCCTGCTGCTGCAGCCCCGAGGCAGCTCCACCGCGAACGACTCCGCGCGCACACAAAGACAAAGGGCCCCCACCCACCCGGGTAGCCTCGCCAGAGTGTTGGGGCCAAGTCGCTGTGAGCGAGCTGCGCCTACGAAGAAGGCCGGCGCTGCGTGTGGCGCACGAGGGGGCCGGTGGGGGGCCGGTGGGTGGCCGGTGGGGGGCCGGTGGGGGGCCAGCACCACGCCCGGCACCTCGAATTGAATCGCAGCTGACGGCATGGACAGACACGGGGCCTGTTTATTCCGTGCTGCGTATCACCGTGCTGCGTTTTGTGTCGAATCAGGACCCACAAAAAATAAGCTAAATAACTCTGTGCTTTGCCTGCAAAGATTAAACAAATTGCTTAGTTTTATTTGTATATATTTATTAAAGTAATTTGTTTACCTTTCTTACACTTTGCACTCCTATGGCGTTGTTTGCATTGTCGTGGCGACGTTCTGACTCCGTGCCCATACTGAGCATCTGTGAAGAAGCGCTTTGGAGCTCGTCGGATTGCTCCAGCATGGACACAATGTCACGATATCTGGCAAAGAGAAAGGGCGAGGTGGGGTGGTGGTGGTGGGGTGGTGGGGTGGTGGTGGTGGGGTGGTGGTGGTGGTGGGGTGGTGGGGGTGGTGGTGGTGGTGGGGTGGTGGTGGGGTGGTGGAGTGGTGGTGGTGGGGTGGTGGTGGTGGTGGGGTGGTGGGGGTGGTGGGGGTGGTGGTGGTGGGGTGGTGGTGGTGGTGGGGTGGTGGTGGTGGTGGTGGGGTGGTGGTGGTGGTGGGGTGGTGGTGGTGGGGTGGTGGTGGGGTGGTCCTGCCCTGCCGAGGGACTGCTGCGTTGTTCTCTTGCTGGGGCCTGGGACTGTTTTTTGTTGTTGCTGCCTCCCCCAAGCTTACATTTAGTGTAGCGTTGTAAAAAAAAATCGACAGTACTCTACGTACTTACGCAATGTATACTTTTATTTAATTAATCTTTTATTATGTTTTATTATTTTATTATTTCCCTTCTACGTGACTTTACCGAAAGATCCAAGAATATGAATCCCTGCAGTCACAAAAGCTTTAAATCGAAAACATACAATGGATACTGATTTTATTCTTTTATTTTTCGTGACTTACCTTTTCTCTATGTTGCACTCCCTGTCGTGTGTTTGTATTGCATGTTCTTGTTGTTGTTGGTGTAACTTGTTGACCCGCCCCTACTGGACACCTGTGGAAAACACCTCCAGAGCTCACGGGATTCGTCCTCTGGTCTAAATAAAGATGCTGATTCTGAACATCTGGCTGCTCACCACCATTGATTTAAAGAATATCCCGACTGCTGGTGAAACACCGGATGTCGAAACCGGTCCAGAGTTCTCTCGGCTTGTGTTGAACCAACTGTTGACACGATGCGACTCCCAGAAGGTCGGCTGATGGGATGTGTAAATTAAAAAAAATCAATATTCTTACTTTGTATGTGGAGGGACAGCTGTGGGAAGGGGGAGATCTGCTTATCAGCGTTTGAATGATCTGTCC